ATTTATATATATATATAAATATGTTCTGATTTTAAGAGCTGAATTGAATATATATATATATATATATATATATATATATATATATATATATATATATATATATATATATATATATATATATATAAATATATATATATATATATATATATATATATATATATATATATATATATATGTATATATATATATATATATATATATATATAAATATATATATATATATATACATATATATATATATATATATATATATATATATATATATATATATATATATATATATATATATATATATATATATATATATATATATATATATATATATATATATATATATATATATATATATATATAGGTTTTTACCTCGAATATCAGTTCTTTGGAATTTGCTTCCTTTATCTGGTTTTTTTGATTCATACAACTTGCTATAATTTTAAGTTGTCTGTCAATAGTTATATTACTCTATAAACTTCATTTTTTCTCTTTGCGTAATTCCCAACTCTAATAGTGGTTACTTGCAGCCTTGTTGGAAGTGAAGATATTTAAAAAAATTTTATACTTATTTATTACACACCAACCATTTCTATCTTATTTCTTATTTACTTTAACATTTTTAGTGAACTCATTTTTAAAAATTACTTTAAGAGCAAAAAAAAAATCACCTTGAGCCCCTTTTTCCGCTGTGTAGATCTTATAAAAGATTTCTAAAATTTTTTTTTTTTACTAAACACTTATTTTCAATAGCTCAATAGTTTAGTGTGCTATCATCAGTATCATTTTGGGGGGTTCTAGTCCTCCATAAAGCATAATAAGTTTTTAAATTTTTTCCATCTTACCAAATATTTTTGCAGCAAAAAAAATATATATAGCAAAAAAACAACTTCTGATTTTTAAAATAAAAAATTTAAAGTTTTCTCATATTGTACATATATTATACATGATTGTTCAATATACGCCCAGGAAACTCAACTTATTCTAAAGACTTACAGACATTAGTACATAACGCAGATGAGACAATATGTTTCATGTTTTTTCAACCTTGCCTATTTTTCTAAATACAATAACATAAATACAAAAATTCAAAGTATAAGCAAAAAATATTTTAATTATAATTTAAAATAACTTTCCTTATAAGTAAGTTTCTTATATTACATATTACTTATATGTTATATATAAAGTTATATGAATTTATTACTATGCAATAAAGCTGCACTTATTTAAAAAATTGCAAACGGTATAAAAGATTTATAAAATGGTTTATTTTTCTAATACATTCAAAACTTCCATAGCTCAATGGTTTAATGCACTTTCATCAGTGTCATTTTGCGAGGGTTCAAATCCACATCCTTAACAAAATTATAATTATAGCAAAAAAATCTTAATTGTTAAAATAATTTTTTGATAGCTACAGGGAATTTTTTTTTTTAATTTTGTTTTGATATTTTTAGAAATTTTAAGCTTTTTAAGAATCCTCTCCCTTTTGTTTGTTATATCTTTATATATGTTATGTGTATAATATCTATAGAACTTTGAAAAGGTTTAATTTTGTATTTTAAAAAATCAAAAGATTTAAAAAAAAAATGTGCAAATGTAAGGAGGATTTGAACCACTGCATTTTAGTTTAGAAATGCTGTGAGCTTACCATTTTAACCACTAAGGAGTATTGTTCGATCAAGGTTTTAACAAAATTTAATAAAGAAAAGACTTTATAAAATGGCAAATAAATGCTACAGATCATAATTAAGGAGATGTTGCCCAAATGCATTTTTTAAGTAAATGTAAAACTGTAAAACATGATATGATTTTAAACATTTCATAATTAAAAGTTTACATAAGTCAGATATTTGCAGACACCTTCATTTGCATTTTCTTATAAGAAAAAGTGAAAAGTACTGCGACTTTTTCTCGTTATTAACTTGGGTATAATGGGTTCTATGAGTTTCATTAAATTCAATATTAATTAATTATTCAATATTATCGGAAGGATAACTTGTTCAATGTAACTCATTTTATTACATAGGGGTTCTTGTTGGAATTTTAGTGTCATCAGGAAGGTGTTTCTCTTTAAATATCAAAAAGAGCGATAGACTGTTATTGAAGGTATTAATAGTTGTTATTTAGGTTGACAAGGTAACTTGTTCAACTGTAGAACTATTTCATTATTCTGTGGTAAAATTGCCCTACAATATTATACTTGGACAAAATCCTATTTAAAATATTCACCACAAACACCAGTAATATGATTTTGACAAAGTTATGAAATTCTAATTATAGCACTTATTCTCAAATGTAGTTTCAATCAATTTCACAAAATTAATAATGCCACTTGGAGCAAGAGTGACATGATAATTTTAATTAATAACATTAAAAAGCAAATCATATTTAAAAATTATAATAACCAATCAAATTAACCTGCAACTATGGTCAATCAATAGTTAGGTTATAATTTAAAAATAATAAATATTATACATCATATCATAGTATGGTGGTATGTGAAAATAACCCATTTTTCTTGAAATGTCAAAAGTGGTAAAACTGCCCTAGTCTATATGTATAGCAAGAAATTAATGTAAAACAAACAAACAAAAAAGATTACAAAATTTTACGACTTCTTAGAATTATAATTACCATTTTCCTCCCAGCTCAAGGGTTACAGGTGTTAAGTGTTCGCTAGCAGCTCTCATCACAATCTTGGCAACAGATGGAGCACCAGTAAAAAAAATATGATCAAATCGCAACTTTAAAAGAGCTGTAGTTTCAAGAACACCACCACTAACTAACTGAACACATTTCTAAATAATAAACCAAGATATCATAAGATAAGATATAATAAGATATAATTACAAGATATAATAAATATAACTACAGTCTATTATAAGATATAATTACAAGATATAAAAAGATATAAGATTTTCAGAATTTTAATTATCAAAAATTCTGAAAACTGTTTAAATTGAGGCACAGAAGAAAATATAAACTAAAATTCATTAAAATAATAAAATTATATTTTTTATACACAATAATGAAGAAGAACATTATTAGTAAACTTTAATTGTTTCTTTAAAACTATCTTATTCAGGCTTTAAAAAATAGATGTACAAAAGTACAAATGTATAAAGAAAATAATATTTAAAAAAAAAATGTATAAAGTACAAGATTTTTTTTATTATTATTAATTCACCTCCTTAAGGCTGAGAAGGCCACTACAGTCAAGGAGGCTACTTATTTGTGGTTATAACCCTCTCTATAACTCTATAACTCTGAAATGCGAACCTTGACGAACAAGGGCGCTGCGCGGAGAAACGAGTTTAGCGCGGTCTTACTAGGGACGTGGTGGGGATCGAACTCGGAACCTCTCACTTATGAAGCGAGCGCTCAACCGCTACACCACTACCGCATCAGATGTACAAGATTGTATGGGAAATTATACTGTTGTACTGTTTTTTCAAAACTATGAATACAATACAATGATTTTTATAGCAACAAGCAAATGCACATTTTCTATTTTGTTGCGATGTAACAAACATCATCATTGAAAATGTTATTTGTCAATTTAGAAAAAAAATTTAACTTGTACTTTAAAATGCAATTTTGCATTATTAAAAGTATTTTAGTTTTATTTGCTGCCTATTGATTAACCACCTGGCAATTGCTTGTATTTTCATAGTTTCTTTTACTTTCAAATTTGACACATGCTGAATTACGTGATATTCAGCACTCTACACTTTTCCACAAAGCACTATTAGCTTAGATTTTTAATTTACAAATAAAAATGTTAAACATTTTTCTTTAATATTTTGTAGCTTAAAAAAAAATGACAGTGACAATGGCAGAAGCAGCAGTAGGAAAAAGTCCAAGACTTCCAAATATGATATTAACACAACAAAAATTTAAAAATGGCTGAAAGCAAACATATACAACATACTATAAACACTGATTTTAAGCAAACCTAAACGGACATGAGAATCCCTGTAGGTGTACATACTTGTTGGGTTTGTAAAAATCAAAACCTTGCAAATTAGACAAACCAGGTCACTAAAGGCTACTTTAACTACTCTAAAGACTACTCTTGAAGAGTGGCAACACTCTTGAAGAGTGGCGACACTCTTGAAGAGTGGCGACACTCTTGAAGAGTGGCGACACTCTTGAAGAGTGGCGACACTCTTGAAGAGTGGCGACACTCTTGAAGAGTGGCGACACTCTTGAAGAGTGGCGACACTCTTGAAGAGTGGCGACACTCTTGAAGAGTGGCGACACTCTTGAAGAGTGGCGACACTCTTGAAGAGTGGCGACACTCTTGAAGAGTGGCGACACTCTTGAAGAGTGGCGACACTCTTGAAGAGTGGCGACACTCTTGAAGAGTGGCGACACTCTTGAAGAGTGGCGACACTCTTGAAGAGTGGCGACACTCTTGAAGAGTGGCGACACTCTTGAAGAGTGGCGACACTCTTGAAGAGTGGCGACACTCTTGAAGAGTGGCGACACTCTTGAAGAGTGGCGACACTCTTGAAGAGTGGCGACACTCTTGAAGAGTGGCGACACTCTTGAAGAGTGGCGACACTCTTGAAGAGTGGCGACACTCTTGAAGAGTGGCGACACTCTTGAAGAGTGGCGACACTCTTGAAGAGTGGCGACACTCTTGAAGAGTGGCGACACTCTTGAAGAGTGGCGACACTCTTGAAGAGTGGCGACACTCTTGAAGAGTGGCGACACTCTTGAAGAGTGGCGACACTCTTGAAGAGTGGCGACACTCTTGAAGAGTGGCGACACTCTTGAAGAGTGGCGACACTCTTGAAGAGTGGCGACACTCTTGAAGAGTGGCGACACTCTTGAAGAGTGGCGACACTCTTGAAGAGTGGCGACACTCTTGAAGAGTGGCGACACTCTTGAAGAGTGGCGACACTCTTGAAGAGTGGCGACACTCTTGAAGAGTGGCGACACTCTTGAAGAGTGGCGACACTCTTGAAGAGTGGCGACACTCTTGAAGAGTGGCGACACTCTTGAAGAGTGGCGACACTCTTGAAGAGTGGCGACACTCTTGAAGAGTGGCGACACTCTTGAAGAGTGGCGACACTCTTGAAGAGTGGCGACACTCTTGAAGAGTGGCGACACTCTTGAAGAGTGGCGACACTCTTGAAGAGTGGCGACACTCTTGAAGAGTGGCGACACTCTTGAAGAGTGGCGACACTTTTGAAGAGTGGCGACACTCTTGAAGAGCGGCAACACTCTTACTAATCCTCTATTTTACAGCTTCTCAGAATAAAATTCATTACTGACCTCTAATGAAAACCATTTAACCATTGTAATGTTAGAATTTGCAAACTGCTTAAAACTCTAAAAATACTCTTATTTCTGATTCAATTCTTAAACTCTTTTAGTTTTCCTTTTCTTTTCATTCAAATCTCAAACTCTTTTAGTTTTTTTAAAAATCTTGAATGTGGATTTAGGTGCACACACAAACATCATACTTAAATAGCAAATCTCTGAAAAGCTTTTAGGCTTTGGTTCAGGTAGGCAGTAACTATGCATGAGGAAACATCTACTACAAAAAAAATTCTTTTTGTATTATTCTTCATTATCTTCCTTTTCTGAAAAATGGTAAATTAAAGAATATATTAGCTATCTGCAGTAGTAGATATGCAAATGTAATTTAAAAAGTAGACTGGATTTGATGTATAGATTTCTACAAGTTATTTATAATTATCTATTATATCTTTGCTTAGTCTATAAATATTAACTTTTTGTTTCATTTTGGTTTCATTAAAAATAATAAATGCTCTACATACAATACAATAACTAAAACCGGTCTCACAACTAATCAAATATAGTAAGCATTGATAATAATTTGATAGTAACATCAGCTTTGATAGCATCCTATTTGATTTATATGGGAAAATTAATAAACAAACACTTACTTCATCCAAATACCTTGAAATAAGGGATTCGAAAACCTTACAAACGTTTGGAGCCACTTCAGATGGCTTTAAAACAACCACATTTCCTTTAATTGTTTAAAAAAATAAATAAAAAAAAAACTTGAATTTTGAAAAAAAAAAAAAAATTCTGAATTGTATAAAATATTAAACAAACCTGCTGCTAAAGCCCCAGCCAAAGGTGATAGCAACAAATTCACAGGGTAATTCCATGGACTGATAATTAAAACAACACCTTTTGGTTCAGCTCGAATTTCACAATGATTAAGAACATTGAGTAAATCAGGTGAGACTTTAGTTGGGCTCATCCACTCATCCAAATTTTGAAAACCTATTTATTTAAGTTATTATAACTTTAATCTTTTAGCTTTTTTTAAATTAATCATTTTTTATATACACTTCAACATCACAGGTGTTACAGCTATATCATAATTGACAAATTATGAACCTTTTTTACCCATTTATATGTATATATAATACAACAAATTTTTCTAAAACTTTCCTAACAAGTACAAGTCTTTTTTGCTTGTTTTGTTTTGTATTTAAAAAATCAAGAAGAATAAAAAAACGCAAGAGTGCTTGGAGGATTCCAGTGCTTGGAGGATTAAAACCTTCATTTTTATTTCTTTCTGTATGCTACGTAAGCTTACAGTATAGAGAAAAACTTTTTAGGAGGATACTTTAAACAAGCAAAACTATATTGAATAGGAGGTATAATAATAATAAAAAAATCACAAATAAAAAAATATTAATTTTGTTAATATTTATAAAAAAAAAAGTTTATTTGCAATGGCAAATTTTTTCAAAAAAAAGTAATAAATAAATAAGCACAAGTAAATAACTTTAAAATTTTTAAAAAAATTTAATGCTTTAGGTACACAACAAACTTGAATACTACCCACTTAAAATTCTAATAAGATTCATCAAAATTTTGGTTGTGATTTTTAAATAATTAGTATTTATACATGAATCCCTGATACACAGCAGTCTGTGCGCAATGACCTACCTAATATGTATTTAAGTTAATTTTATGAAATGTTTATGCTAAATGTTTGTAAGTTCATCAATTTGTTGAACCCTCTTTATATATTTTTTGCCATCCTGATCCTGTATTAAAACAGTTTGAGGTTGGCAAAAATTGGCGACCTTATTTTTCTCAATTTTGAGGGCTGATGTATATAAACACACAACTTAAACCACTACTAACATTTTTTAGCTAAAAGAATATGATTTTTATTTTAATATTAGGATCAAATATTGTAGACATAATAAAATTTTGCACACAATAAATTTTCGCGCTCTCTACCACCTTTCTCTTCAAATTTTTGGGAGGAGGAAAAAGTGTAGCAAAGGGTACTGCAACCCCAATTATTTTCTTAGAGTAGCCCCTGATAACTATTAGGTCTTTAGAGTGTCATTTATGAAAAACTTAAAAATTTATAAATTACAAATCAATATCAAAATAATCATCAAAAATTTTATCCAATTTTACTTCTGACTTTTTCTGGGGGAGGTTAGGGGAGGGGGAGGGAAAAGGGGAGGGAAGTGTTCTTGAGATTACCTCCCTCTCACTCCCTGTTAAAAGGGGTGCTGCAACAATGATTTTAAAATATAAGTTTGTGCTTACGTTGTTTAGTTTTATTCAAAGATTAAGAGTTGATTTAAAATAGTCTTGTTGTAAAAGGCATATTTTTGAACTTATAGGTGGATGGAAAGTTATGTTACTTTAGTTATGCTAAGAAAAACTTAAAAAATCTTATTTAAGATTTTAATAAATGCTCAAGTTGCAAAAATGCTATTTGTAAATATTTATTGAAAATTGTTCAAAGTATTTTAAACATTCAGTAACAATATTTTAGTAATTTTGAGTTATTAAAGTTTTTTTATAAGTTATTAAAGTTTTTTTTTAAGTTATTAAATATTTTTAATGCTTTAAACAATTTTTAGTCAATTTACAAATAATCAGATAATAATTTTAAGTTATTAAAGTTATAATTTTATAGTTATTAAAGTTTTTTTTTAAGTTATTAAAGTTTTTTTTTAAGTTATTAAATATTTTTAATGCTTTAAACAATTTTTAGTCAATATTTACAAATAATCTTTTATTTTCAAAATTAAAATATATTAGTAATTACACTTACGTCTTGTGTTTAATTAGTTATTGTCTATATATAATATATTATATTATACAGACAATAGCTCGTCAAATATAAAAGTGTTTAACAAACATATTTGTTTACCATTATATTAGTTTTCAATTTAATATTAGCAAACCTGTTTGTTTAACTTTTACTAAAGGTTAATATTTTTCACAGTACTTCAAGGAGCCTTTTAAATAAAAGGTTACATTAATGATTAAAAAATTTATATTTATTTTGAAGTAATAAATCATCATTAAAAAAATTACATACAATAAGTTACTATGTTACAATAATATACTATGGATTCTACAATTACAATTACAATAATATACTATGGAGTTACAATAATATACTATGGAGTTACAATAATATACTATGGAGTTACAATAATATACTATGGAGTTACAATAATATACTATGGAGTTACAATAATATACTATGGAGTTACAATAATATACTATGGAGTTACAATAATATACTATGGAGTTACAATAATATACTATGGAGTTACAATAATATACTATGGATTTTTTTAATAATTTAAAAATAACTAAATCTTAAAAACTTTTATAAAGTTATTTTAATTCTTATTTTATTATTTTAAAATTCAAAAAAGTTTTTATTTCTTTTTTTTTATTTTTCAAATGTAAAATAAAATAGCAAGCTAAAGATCAAAAGTTCATTCAATCAAAAATTAAATTTGCGTGATTACTTATTAGGACTAAAATTTTTAAAATATTATTAAACTATTACCTCTTTTAAAACTTTTAAATTATTTTAAAAATTATTTTAAAGATTATTAACTATTAATTGCCAAAATTGCTCTACCTTTCAAAAAAACAAATTTTTCATTCATTATATTGTCTTTAAATAGAGTTTCATTACAAGTTTTCAAATTGAGTTTCATAATAGCATTTATTTTTAAATCTAAAATTTGGTTAGTTATGAATGACAGTTATGTTGAATGAGTTACATCACATAATTAGTTTCTAATTTATTTTATTATCCTGAAGTAAAAATGAACTAGTAAAAAAAAATTGAAATTTTGTTATTTACTACTGTATTTGAAAGCAAGAATTTTGTTCCTATTTTTAAAAAATTAATAATTTCATAAATCAATTATTATTATTTTAATTTTAATCAACAATTTTATATATCAGTTATTATTATAGCGAAAAAGCAGCTAATTGTGAATAAGCACAAACCCTTTAGAAAGTTCACCTGTATGTATTGAGCACCTGCTCTGAAATTTTAATCATTACTCTTGAAATATTATTAGGCTATCCCTTCAATCAGTAGAAGTACCAAAAGCGTGGAAAGATTGAAACAAAATTTTAATTTATAAAAATTGCAATAAGCTTGATTTTTCTAACTTCAGACAAATTTCTCTTAAGTCCATTATATGCAAAGTTTTAAAAGGGATTAAAAAAAAAATTATTTGGCAACTTTTAGATAATAATTCTATCATTAAGAATCAGCATTTTTTACCAGGCAATTCTTGCATTACAAATTTATTTAAAAATTAAAACATTATAACTCTAGCAATGAATTAAGAATACCCTTCAATATCCTCTTTACTGCTTTTCTAAAGCATTAAAAATCTTTGTTATCAAGTAGAAGGCAAAGAGTTGTTTACAAGGCTTCAAGTTTTAAGTGGTGTACTGCGTGGCTGGGTTTTAGGACAAATTTTGTTTTCAATCTATATTTTCTTATATGATATTTCAAATAAACTAAAAAATATATGCAAGCTCTATGCTGATGATTGATGATTTAAGATAATCCGTGATAACAGTTGTAATGATCTCCAGGATAAAACAAATTTTATTTTTATTGATGCAATAACAGGATTATGCAATTAAATATAGAAAAATGTAAAATTATGCATGTCACTAAAAAAAAAAAATTTAACAAAAATAAAAAAAAATATTATATTTCTGATTATCAATTGAGTATTTCAAAACGTGAAAACAACATCGATATCTTAATGTTATGTTAAAAAACAATCTGAAATAAGATTATCATATATCTGCTTGTGTTTTTAAAGCAAATAGAATTTTAGGTGTTATCTGACAAAAAATTTCATTTTTAAACTAAGATATAGCTAAGTTGTTATATGTTTCCCTAGTAGACCCTCATTTTGAATACACTTCTGCTATTTGGAATCCATTTCTGAAAAAAGATATTTATCTTATTGAACAAGTATAAGTTAAAGCTAAAAGACTAATTCCGGGATACTAGAAGCTACTTTATGAAGAAAGATTAATGAATTTTAACTACTATATAAATAAGAAGAAAAAGAAGTGATTACATTATCTTTTTTTAAATGTATTTATAATCTTTACCAGCTGAATATGGTATCTTCTATAAAGAACTTTTATTTAAAAATAGAACCAGCTGGAAGTGTCCCTGAATATACCTATAATCAAAGATACATTTCTGAGAACAGAAGAGACTCAATTAGAAGAAATTGTTTCACCAATTTACTTTGCGTTGATTTGACAAGATTCTAACTGACATTTTTTCCAAAATTGAGATTATGACGTTATTGAACTATTTGTATTATGACAAAGACAATAAACTAAAATTTACTGCGATCTAGCGTAAAATAAGCAAACCACCAATGTGCCAAAGCTCTATCTGCAGGTTTAGTTAATAAAAAAATATATATATAATATTTAGTTTGACAAGGTTCCAACTAACAGGTTAGAGTAAAATATAAACCTCAAATCCGGCCTTGTATGGAATACTGTTGCCATATCTGGGTCATATCTTCTAATGATGCCCTTTCTCTTTTAGAACAGATGCAAAAATGCATTGTAAACATAGTTAGATCTGCTCTTGCAGCCAACCTTCAACCAGGGCTTAATTTAATTTTTTATAAGGTCCCGGACAAAATGTCCGACCAAAAGTTATTTTGGTCGGACATTATCCGATCAAATTTTTGAAATAAAATTTAAACAAATATTTACATATATTCATATTTTTTATAGTTAAAAGGAACACAGGAAAAAGTTCTTTAAATGCCAAGATTAAAATAGTACTGCAGATGGGTTTTCTTAGACTAGCTACTGGCGTATCTGAGTTTTACGGAACCCAATTATCCAATCGAAATATATGTTATGTTTTCCCAGTTTATTTTATTTTAGGCTAGTAAAGTTGTAGTTTTTTTTCTTAATATTCAGAATTTTTATCATCGTTTTAGAAAGTATTGAAATAAGCATATTTTATTATAAATATGCTTAAGTTTAAGCATATTTATGAGCCTCTTTAAACTTTTTGCTTAAGCATAGATGAAACATCAAAGATCTTTGTATTTTAATTAAAATAGTTTAAATTCAATACTGCCCATTTTTTTAGATAGACTTGAAGTTTTATTGAGTTTTTTCCTCTTGAAAACCTTGTTAGTTTACGTTGAATTGAAAACCCGTTTATAAAAGTTGTGTAAATTTTTTTACTTAACAAAATATAATATGCTAAGTGTCAATTTTGCGCATAAGCTCCACTTTTAGCGCCAAAGAGGTATTTATATGGCGTTCATGTAACTATTTTTATCAATAATAAAAACGGCAAGAAAACAAGTTTGTTATAGTAATATAGTATAATAATGTCTTAAATATATTAAATATTAAGATAAACATATATTATTTTTAAACTTGATATAAAAAATTTAAATTTCGCTTTTACTTATTTAAAGGCAGTTAAATCAAACGCAATATAATATTTACGGGCTATTATTTAATTTAAAAATTCCACGCGCTGCATGTCATTAAAATTCGATCAATTCAACGAAGAAAATTTTATGAGTTCTACAGGTTATTATTTATCTAATTTCAAAAAGGCACTCCTTCTTTGGCAGACAATTTTTATAAAGCTAGAACTTTTTAATCTTTTATATATATATATATATATATATATATATATATATATATATATATATATATATATATTATATATATATATATATATATATATATATATATATATATATATATATATATATTACAATCTTTATAGAAATAAAAATAAAAAAATACAAATAAAGATATAGTTTAAGAAACGAATAATGAATAAAGAATCGGAAAACATAAGTAGGACCAGGATGCCACCGAGAAACCGCTCAAGCTAAAATAGAATGATTTGGATGATTATAGCCTTAATATTTAAATGTATATTTTCTGAATGTTTTTTTAAAAATATTCCATCGATGAGATCTCAGCCTCTAAAAAAACACATTATTTGATAATAAAAGGTTTTACACTTGTAAAACCTTTTATTATCAAATTTTTCAAACTGCTAGCTTTTCTTTGCTTTTTGGTGTCCACGGCGTTTGCAGTAATCAATCGAACATACTTTGACTTTTGTGATCGTTTTAAATAAGCAATAATTTTAAATTTAATAATATAACAATAAAACTGTTAAAGAACAGTCATTAAAACTACAACTAATAACAGCACTTTTTTTGGGAATGAATGCCTTCATTATCAACATATTTTATAAGTTTGTCTAATAGTTTACATTAAGTTTAAATTTGCCAATTTCAAATCGACGAATAAAATTTTATTTTAAAGAATTAAAAATCTTGCAAGACAAAATGTCCGATGACTTAGTAAATTGATCGGACAATCTGAGGTTTTAGCCGAACAATGTCCGATGTCCGACTGTTAAATTAAGCCCTGTTCAACCATTATCACATCGTCATGTTACTTCTCTTTCTATTTTCTACAAATACTATAATGGACACTGCTCTAAAGAGCCAATGTCTCTTGTGCCATCTATTAAAATTCATTCTTGTATTACTCGCCATTCAATTAAGTCTCATCCTTTTTCTGTGACTATTTTTAAGTGCTACAAAAACTCTTATTCCTCTAATTTTTTTCCTCGAACATCAGTTCTTTGGAATTCACTTTCTTCATCTTTCTTTCCTGATTCATATAGTTTGCAATCTTTTAAGGCTCCTGTCAATCGTTATCTTGCTCTAGAACCTTCATCTTTTCCCTTCCAGTAATTTCCAACTCTAATTAGTGGTTGCTTGCAGCCTTGTTGGGGGCAAAGATGTTAAAAAAAACCTAATTGCAGACTCTTCTAAATTTTTTCAGTTAAATATTATGATATAGAATTTCATGTTCATCAAAAATCATTTTAAAACATTGGTCTAAATATCAACATATAGTGTTTTAGTTTGACATTGATGTAATAAAAAATCTTTTTTATAATATTAAATTCTACCAACTTTAAAATAAATATTAAAAACAAAAAAAAAGCTTTTATAAGGTAAAACTCTTTTTTAACAAAAAAAAAAAAAAAAAAAAAAACAAAAGAAAAACAAAAAAAAAGCTTTTATAAGGTAAAACTCAAACTTAAAAAAAAAAAAAAAAAGCTTTTATAAGGTAAAACTTTTTTAAAATTTAATGACAATTCAATTTTCTTACAAACTTACCATTAGTCAATGTAACTATATTTTCTGTGCATATCCCTAACTGTCAGCCAATGTAAGGACGTTGACTTACAGTTAGGGATATGCACATATTATACAACAACCAAACAACAATGCTGAGCATTATGGAATGAATCAACGGTGGACAAGGCCAAAATTATTAACCAGTAGTTCTTCACCAATAAAATGACAGAATGCGATGAAAAGCTTTTAAACTTTTAAGCAATGATGTAATGGTTATTAATGGTATAATATAACAGTAGAATCTTGTAAGATAATATGGCAATTATCGTTTATTATACTAATATTTAAGTTACAAAATTTAAAAGTAGTTAACAACTTCGATCACAAAATTTCAAAAGAGCTAAAATGTTTTTAACTACCGCATATAATTATTTCACTATGACAAAGTTATAACTGCATTTTGGGGGTAATTATTTTTTCATAAAGTGTGAAACATTTTTTAGTTACAAATAGTGATAATAAAGGCATATCTTTATGTTATCATGAGTAAAAATCAATTGATACAAATAAATTTTTATGGTAAAAAAATAACAATTTTTGACATTGATTTACTCAAAATTACTCACAGATCAGTTAGAACTTTGTAAAATCAACTCAAATTAAATTACCTTAATTTGACATAACTTGCTATTTGATGTCAAATGAAGTGAATCAGTGTTGAAATTTAAAAAAAATTGTGACTTGAAATGTCGAAGTGTAATTTTTGAACTTGCTGAAAAAGTGGTTTACTACTCTTTGAGCTTGCTGCAGCAATTAAATAAACAAATTGTGATGACCAAAACAAACAAAAATACAACCAAAATTTTCATTAAGTTATTGCAAGTTATTTTTGTAGAAAAAAGAGTGTCAAAAATTAATTTGAAAAACAACAAAATTGTGGTTGTAAACAAGTCGAAGATGTGAGAGTATTGAGCCTACACATTTGTTACACATACTCATTGTGCAACCAGGTAGAGACATTTAGGCATACAAAGAATAAATATTAAAATTGAAATATTGTTTTATTATAAATGATTTACATTAAAAACAAAAAGCTAATTTTTTTTTTTTTGGTACAAGTAAAAGGTTCTGTTGAACTTTTGAAATCAAAAAAACTTACAATGTCCAATTTCTTTTCGCACTTGAAGTAATTCCATAACATTGGATTCCAGCTTACACTAAAAGAAATTACAACCTTACTAATACCCATAATAATCTTTAAAAAAAATAATGCATAAGCATTAAATAAACAATGCACAGATAATAGTTAAAAATTTATAATAACTTTATATATTTAAAATAATGTTATATATTTAGAATGATCCTATTGTTTTTTAATTTTTACTTTGTGAAGATCTTTATACAAAGCCTCCAATATTAACTCTTCATTTTCATCAAGTAAGTCATTAAGGCGTTGAAGTTGGTGCAGTCGAGATTCAATACCTTGCATAACTCCATTTTTAAAGTTTTGTCGAAGTTCATTTACTACCTAAAAATAATATTTTCCTGAAATAAAGATTTTAAAAACAAATATAATTAATACTTATTCATTGCAACAATATTTTTTTATATAAATCCAATCCAACAAGGTCAACCACTATTTGAATAGAAAGTTGCAAAAACAAAAAAAGAGGTTTAACTGTCAGACTTATCAGTTTAAGCTTATATCAGTCAATTTATATACATTTTGCATAAAAGTAAAGAAGTAAAAAAAAACTTAAATATAAAAAACACTATCAAGTTATGTAACAAATGTAATAAATTAGTCATTAAAGTTGTTATTTTTGCTTTTATTAAAAATGATAAAATTTAAATGTAATTAATTTTCAGTAATTAATGTAATGGTTTTAACATTTAAGTAATATTTAACAGTTTAAAAGTGTAAAGTAACAAAAAAAAATTTCATTTTCATTCTTTTGCCAAAAAAGACAAAATCTATCATTGTTCACTTTCCCATAAATTTACGAAATGTTGAATCATTATTTACCTTTGCATAAATTGGTTTTTGTTAAAATATATATCTTATTTTAATTACTGGAATATAATGCTGATTTTTTAAAAAAGCAGCAAAATTGATGTTTAAAAAATGCAAGGTATACATAAGCCACAGAACTAAAAGGTCAACACAACAAAATTCAATATGCAGCAATGACGGATCTCAAATAAACCTTGCAGTTACCAAGATCAAAAGAGACCTTGGTGTCAAGGTCTCAGATCTGCAATATGCAGCGATGACAGATCTCAAATACAACCTAAAATTAAAAAATCAAGGCAAAACAGCAGCCTCAACAGCCAATCAAGTACTAGGTAGATTAAAAAAAGCATTCCACAGTATTTTAAATATTTAATAACTATTAAAATTTAAACTACTAAAATATAGCTATTAAATGATTATATAATACTTTAAACAATTTTCAATAAAAGTTACAAAAAAGTAAGTATTTACAACTTTAACATTTATTAAAATGTTAAATAAAATAGTTTTTCTTAGCGAATTAAAGTAGCATATACTTATGTCGACCTTTTTTTTTAATTGAGCCGGAAAAGATAATTCATAGTCAGGATAATTATTACATTCTGAATATGAATATGAAGCAGATATAATTAATCTCTGATTTTATCTAAAATTATTTTAAAGAAAACAGTTGTTACAGTAATAGGAGTTATGAAGAAATTTAGAGATGACAAGTAAGTTGTAACTAAAGAATGAGAAATGATTATAAAATATACTGATCACTTCCACTAAAAATTTAGCATAATAAACATGTTAAAATCTTTCAATCAATAGACAAATCAAGTTTTTGTCCAGAAGTAATAAATGAGAGCAGGTAAGAAAGGAAGGGAGGGGGAAATAAATAGAGGGGTATTAATAAACAAGAGGGTAGTACTTTATATTTTTATTTCGGTGAGTTTATATTTTATAATTTTAAAGACCCAAACCAGTCTCAAAAATTTGAATACAAAATTTTTTTTTTCAGTTATGAGATAGAAAGACAGGGAGAGGGGCCTTAATAATCTTAAGTTGGGTGAGAAAATTTTCTGAAAATTAATAAACATCAATTTCCCTGTATTAAGCACTTAAGAGCAGTGCAGAATTTACAGGCAGGCTGACTAGGCCATAACCTAGGGGCCCTGCAAAAAAAGGGGCCCTAAAATCGAATTGTAATCAAATTAAATTTTTTATTTTTGGAAAGTGAATACATTTTTGTTAGAAAGTAAAAAAAAACATTTTACTATTTTATCTATATTATTATTTTTTTTTTTTGAATTGTGATTAAAAAATCAATGTATATTTAAAGATGAAAGTCTAATAAAAAACATTTTTAAATATTTTGTTTATTACTATGAATAATAACATTAACAAATAATCAACTTCAAGACTTTAATAATCATTTGACTTTTTTAATTACATTTTTTTATTAAAATTTCAACTGAGGCCTTCTAAAATATTATATTCTAGAAGGTCTTGAAAGCTCAATATTTCAAACAATTTGTTTTTTTGTCATTTGTGTGTTTTAAAGTGTGATTTAAAATAAAACAGATGAGTTCATTTTAAGTAAAATTTTGCAAGCTTTTAAGTAAAAAAACTAAGTATTCAAAGAAAATAATTGCAAAGTTTTAACACATATTCCTTTTAAGTCTTTTAAACTGTGTTCACTTTATGTAACTTTGCACGTTTTTAAGTAATGTAAATGAGCACATATTTATACAGAAAGTAATCATAATTTTTTTACATTCATTCTCCTGTTTATTTTTAACAAACGTTGGCTTAGCTATGTAAGCTATTTTATTTAATTTTCATCATAAAAAGTAGTGTAGTGCTTGTCAACAGTAACAATTAAATTAATTAAATGTGTTCTTTTACAGAAATTTCTAATAGATATGGGAAGAAGCTATAAAATTGGAGCTGCAAAAAGAAAGAAAAAAGCAATAATAGAAGAAAACATGAAGAAACATCAAAAACTTGATGTTTCTTTATCAGGGTTGCCACTATAATTTTTAAAGTTTTTCCCTGAGTTTTCCCTGAGTATTCCCTGAGTAAAGAACGTTTTTCCCTGAGTGAACTTTTTAAGTTCCTTGAGTTTTCCCTGAGTTTTCCCTGACTATTCTATATTCCTTTCTGTTCATCTTTATATTTGACAAACTAAAACTTTTACAAAAACACACAGATCTTGCAAACTTATTATTATATGTATTTGCAAAATATTTTTGAAAAAAAAATTTAACAAAATTAAAAAAAAAAAATATTTTCCCTGAGTTTTATAAAAATTTTAAAAAATACTGAGTTTTTCCAGGTTTTCCCTGAAATTCATGCTATTTCCAGGTTGAGTGGCAACCCTGTTTATGTTTCTTTATGGATGTTATGCTAATTCACCAACCTCAGCTAATCTTGCAAACTTGAGCATAAGTTAAGAAACAAATATATTTGATGTTTTAGAGGATACAATTAATGAAACTCAAACTCTAAACGAACAATTGAAACTTGATAAGGAAAAGGCCTGTTTCCTTATTGATTTGTCATGGAATAGGAAAAGTGATCCAGGACTAAGGGATACCCTTTCAGGTATCCCTTAGTCCTGGATCACTTTCAAAAAAAGTAGCTGGTTAAACAATTATTAGATAATGGCTCATATATTCCCCAGCATTAGGTTGTTTATTTTATTATTTATCTAGTTTATTTGTTTATTATTTTGCCTGCCATTTGCCATTTTATAATTTATCTAGTTTATTTATTTATTATTTTGCCTGCAAGCTTTTCGAATTTTCAAAATATGCTTTAGCTTCAACAAGGCTATGAGAACTCATTGGACCATAGAAAAGCTTTTTTAGCATACTTTCACAGAAAAAGTACTGAGGATTTTTTTATATGAACAACTTTTAAATGAACCTTGAAACTACTGGAAAGAGATTCTAAGAAGAGTTACAGCTGTAATTTGCATTTGGATCTGAAAGCAACAGCTATTCTGCTTGAGTTGATTGCACAGTTTGATCATTTATTGGCCAAACACATAAAAAATACAGCGGTTCTGAAAAAACAAACTACCTCCAAACGAATACATGTAATAAATTAATTGTATTGATAGCAAAAAAAGGTTATGCAATCAATCAGTGATGATGTTTTAAATTCTATGCATTATGGATTATCAGTTGATTCAACACCTGATGTGTGTCACAAAGATCAACTATGTGTGATCTTGATGTAAATTTATCAAACTTCTAATGAGCATATTGAAAAGTTCGCCAATTCTATCCACATCGATAATGCAAATGCAACCATAGACTTTAAAATTGAACTTGGAAATCAGCAACTGCAGAAGACAGTCTTATGATAACTCATGCAATATGATTGAAAACTATAAAGGCATGAAAACTAGAACTTTGGAGTTCAATAAGCTGGCAAAATTCTTCCCATGTTCAGGTCATTCTCTTAACTTAGTAGCATTTTCTGCTGTAGATTGCTACATCAATAGAATCAATTTTTTGTTATTTTTCAAGAACTGTACAGTTTTTTCTTGGCTTCTACAAAGTTATAGAGTATATTGGAACAGTTTGCAAGAAGCTCATTAAAATCACTATTAAATAATTAGTGAAGTGCTCATGCTGACTTGGCCAAAATCATTCACCAGAACTACAATAAATTGATGGAAATAATGCTCACAATTAATGAGAGTTTTGAAATGAAAGCAAGAACTGCAACTGGAAATTTATTATCAAAAATGAAAACTTATGACTTTGCCTTACAAACAATAATATGCTGATGTAACTTGATTTTAATCAAATTTTACAATGAATGAATGCTGTTTCCAAATCACTGCAAAGTGAAACAAATACTATGGTTACATGTGTTGAACTTTTTTCATCTTTTAGTGATTATCTTCTTGGATTAATTAACACATTCAATTTAATAGAACAAGATGCTAAATTACTGTTACCAGACATAGATAATTTACAAAAGAGATGCCATAATAAGAAAGCTCTATTAGGTAAAAACTGATAAGAAGCTTTAATAAAGTCCACATGAAGAGTTTAAAAAACTGATAAGAAGCTTTAATAAAGTCCACATGAAGAGTTTAAAAACATTTTTTGTAAAATATCAATAATCTTTTTTAAATTTGAAAGAAATGCTATCAAGAATTAATTGAATGACAAATTTGTATTTTTAAATTTAAATCATCAAAACATCTAAACAGTAGTTTAGTTATTTCAATATTTTTCGTAGTTAAAGTTTACCTCAATGCTTCTTTTTTCAGCGCATTTCTGAAATGTTTCAAATTTAAACATTTCAGTTTAATTGAAAAGTTTTTTAGTTTTTTTAAAGTTCTGATGTTTCTGACTTAAAAGGTTGGAAGTTTATTTGTTGAAATTTATAGTTGAATTTGTTTATTTGTTGAAATTTATAAGTTGAAAAGTTGAAGCCTTATGGATTGATGTTGAGAGGACATCACTTTTTTGATTTGATAGTTGCCATTTTGACTCCAAATTTGACAA